AAAAAAACATTCATATCTTGTCTGACATCTCTGTTACAAACTCTGGTCATCAACTCTGGTTTTCAGTTGAAATTGGAATTGTTAATTTACACAATAATAGGATTGCATTGACGATTTTTTCTTAACTCGCAAAAATCTTCATACAATTTGCTATCGATTGGTGATAAAATTTTTTGGAAATAATGAAATAGAGGGGATAACTCCTTTTTTTTCAGAGGTGATTTTTCAAAAATTTATTTAAAAAAAAGTACTAACTAGCAAATGTTTTTTATTAGCTCACAATTTTCTTCAAAACTACTTCAATGAGGAAAAAAATGAAAATTTGGAATATCTGTACATGAGGGGCTAATTGATCGGATCTAAAGAATATAAGATTATTTTTTGCTGTGGGTCCAATAGTGAATTCTTTACTGCTGTTTATGGCTGTAAGCCACATTAGTGTAAAATGCACGGACGAAAAAATAATTTTCAGAAGTATTAAAAACTAAAACCAGTGATGCCGTGAGACGAAACGAGAAACTGCATCTTCTCGCCTCGTCTCGTGATCAGGAAACCATTCTCTTATCTCGTCTTGTCTCGTCTCGATTCTACCCTGAGAGAAAAACAAACACGTTGTCAAACAAGTCTTGTTTGGGTCAACAAAATCGCTAGTTGAAAATTGCAAAAAAAAACATTTGTTAGGTTCGAATTTAAGAGTCTTAAACATGAATAATTGTTCTGCTTTTGACAGCAACTAAATAATTGGCTCAAGAGGCGGATAATTCACACCAGACGGTGCCTTTTCACGATGAAAATATCTCATATAGAGAAAAATTTATCAACAAAATTTAAGGGGAAAATTTTATCCCTAAGTTACAAGATTGCTATCATATCATTATTATTGTTTCATTTAAGGCTTCATTTCTTGTCTGTGATTATTAGACAGCCGAAACGCAAAACTAATATCCCTTGTTTCGCATAAAACAAAGATTTTTCGGGAGTAAAATACGTATGGGAGTATCGAATAACGAAGGAGGACTGCTACAAATGACATTTCTTGCGTGTACAGAGAATGCAATTTTTTTTTAACTATTAAATCTATTTTTGCGACAAAAATTTTTCATTCCGGCGCACTCTCTGCATGTTTGGTACAAAAAATCCTTTTTTGGTAATTTTCAAAAAAATATTTTCTTGGCACACGTAAGACTTGTTTGAGAACTTTGTCGTTTTTCTCTCAGTGTATAATGCGATTGAAGCGAAATTTAATGTTAAATTGTTTTTAATCTACATAGTGAAAAAAAAAGCGTAACGAGGGGTGAATTATTCTCCACTTGCACCGAAAAATTTACTAAATATCAGGGTAATGTGTCCTGAAGTTGTAAAATTGCAAACGTGAATGGTTATTCAATGCCTTTGAATTTTCTTGTAGAGGAGAACAATTCCTCTCCAAACACTGTACAGTAAAGTTTTACCTTCATCCGCTCCCACGTCGTTCATATCTTTTCCAGAAAAAAATACTGTGCAGGTGCGGGCAATTCCACTGTACAGAACACCGTAATTTTTTCGTCCACAATAGTATATTTCGTAACGAGTGCAAAAAACATTTTTTCACGAGTTACGAACAATATTTTTCATCACAATGTGGCGGAAATTGGACTTTTAGGCACGCGGAGCGTGCCGAAAAGTTCACTTTTCGTCACAGCGTGATGAAAATGTAATTTTTTTACTGAACAAATCGCAAGATATTCTCTACAAAAAGTATTTTTCATCGAAAACTAATCCGCTTCCCGATTGCCCTTTGTAAAGTAAAATTCACTGAGATTTTCTGCATATTTTTTCTCCAACTTTTCTCTCCGCGTAGGCGAGTACCGGGAATTCCCACTCCCGGAAGCAGTAGGATATGAAATCAACCGATACAATTGCACTCGCTTGGAGCACCAGCGGAAAAACACAACACGCGGAGAGAAGCATGATGCCCAGTTTATGTTTCCATATGAATACGTATAAACTTCCACACGAAGATAAATTTTT